TGGAACAACACTACTATTGGGGTACTCATTCCACCACCTCCTCCCAAGATCCACGTGTTCCCAGACGCATCTCTTCTGAGATGGGGAAACTTATCTTCAAGGTCAGGAGTTCCAGGTATTTTGATGGAAGTTAAGTCTACCCTTCATATCAACATTTTCAAACTCCTTGCAATACACCAGGCAATAGTGCAAGGTCTGTCTTTCTTGAAGGGGGAAAAAAAAAACTGTCATGTTACATTCCTACAATTACATGGTGGTATCACAGATTTCTAGTCAAAAAAGGCACACATTCTTGAGACCTTGTTTTTGTACCTTGGGCTCATTCCTATTGTATCAGTCTTTTAGCTTGTCATGTTCCAGGAGTGATGAATTTAATTGCAAGTTTTTCAGTAGATTTGCTCTCAGTTTTGCTCTCTTAGATGTATTCAGTCAGGACTGGACAGGTTTACATTCGTATGCCTTTTCCCATGATTTGGCTATGGTCCTGGTCTCTGATTATGGTTTGCTCCTTTCTCTATCAAGTTGTCTTGGTTGGACTATATTAATCAGTTCAAACCTAGTTTCTGTTTCTTTGGTATCTGCAGGTATGTCCTCCTCTACCTCTTCCACATTGGCAGTATCTGAGACATCCTCCACCCAGGTAGTCAAAAACTCAATTTCATGCTGGGAAGTTATGCAGTCTTTTTTTTTTTTTTTGCCCAACATCAGGTAACTTCTATGGTATCTCTGTATTTAACTAAGTCTCTCTGTAGGCCAACCACAGCTGTTTATCAACAGAAATGGAATACTTATCAGTGTTTTTTTTTTAAAAGGAATTTCAATGCTCTTCATCCTAAAGTATCTACCATATCCTGTTTTATGACTTGGGTATTTGAGAGGGGTCTTTCTTCATTTAGTTGCTTTATATATACGGTTATCTTATCCATTATTTTTAGGTATTCCAAATATTGGAAGGTTTTTTTAATCCTCAGTACTATCAGGTCTACTCAAAACACTTCGTATTCTTTGACCCAAATGACCTTTTCAATTACCAAATTGGGATTTTACAGTTGTTTTACATGCTCTTTCTCATCTTCCTTTTCAGCTCTTAATTTTGTGTTCTTTGTTTCACTTTTTTTTCTAATTGTATTATTTGTTGTTATTGGTTTGTGGACGTCATTGGTTGAAGTTGTTTACAATTCCTGTGCTTCAGACTCTTTATCATTCCACATTTGTCCTGCTTTACCCCAATAGGTTCTTTCTGTCCAAGACTGACAGCTAAGGAAGGGGAAAGATCCTTATCACCAATCCACTTGCCAACCATTCCTTACCTTTATGACTGCTCCAATCCTGACTATTTGTTATGTCCTGTTAGGGCCCTCAAGTGTTATGTAGATTGTATCTAGCTAATTTCAAGATAGTAGGAATCATTTGTTCGTTCATTGGAATCTTTCTTTTTCCCATTACTTATCTCCCATTACCCTGACTTCATAAGGTGGCTTCATAAGTTGATTCCCATGGCATATAATGGATTATTGTTACAGGAGAGGAATCTTTGCATGTCACATCAGGCTCTGTCGAAATGGGGTGTTCCATAAGACCATCTAGAACCCTGCCAGATGGTATTATCTTATTATTATGGATTGCCATTCATGGACTATAATGAGTAAAGCTAAAGGGGATCCTGCTCGTCCCTGCCCATCTTCAGGTTGAATAAATCGGGGTCGGTTTGCTTTTAAAAATGTAGGGAACTTGGCTCACTTATTGCACAGTTTCCAGAGCACTGTTTCTCAGGACTCCCCAATAATTCCAGACAGGATGAGTTCTGTTCCTTTGGTTGAGTATGGCATACACAATCCCATCATTCTGAGCCTTGGTGCTGCTTACTTTTTTGTCGTGATTCTGGTGGTGCAAAATGCATCCCTCTATGGCTAGAGGTTGGGATCCAATCAAAAGTATATATAATATTGCAGTCCAGTAGCCCTAGCCACCAATGTGGGATATTTGGTTGGGACTGGCCTATACTGACAATTACTTGTATTCTATTTCACCTTTGATATAGGAACTGAATTCCTGGCGAAGAGCATACTTATTCTGGATGTAGTGCGGTTCCCCCACTCTTGTACCATTTTTATCTTGGTACACTTTTCTATACAGATGCTTTCTGTATAGTTTGTGCTTGCACCATCCCCTCCACTTTCTCAATGTGGGATTCTAGCTATAGTGTCAGTGGAGGTAAGTATGTTTTGGAAGTTAACATTTTCCTAAACTGAAAATGTATTTCCAATAATACTTACTTCTGCTGACACTACCACCCTACCTCCCCACTAAAAGCTGGTTCATGTCTCGAAAAAGTGATTACATTGTCTGATTGAGGTTCTTATATAGAGTACCTAGATAGAGGGTGCATTGAAGTTGATGGAGAATTTTGCAAATTATAATTTGCCAAGAACATTCAAGTGGTGTATATAAAGACTGGAATAAATGTTTTCAATGCTTAGATGGGCAAAGAGTGGAAACCTTGGAGATAGAGAAATAGCTATAGCGTCAGCAGAGGTAAGTATTATTGGAAATACATTTTAAGTTTAGGAAAATGTTAACTTCTGTAAGGAGTACTCACTCTCAGAATTTTGTCAGTCGGAGTAACTTTAAATATTTTATGAAGTGCAGCAGTAACATTTTGTGATAAATAGTAATTTAACTATCTATTAATTATTTTATTATTTCAAAAGGTGAAATTTGACACAGGATTAATTTAGCAAATTAAATCACCAGATGTAGTCATAATAAACACAAATAATGACATTACAATTTTTTATTTTATTTTTTACACAAAATTGGATTATTCATGTTTGCACTAATAGAAAGTCCTGGCAGTTAGAGAGTGCTTAATATTTCAGCTCTACTGTGTGTACTGTGTGTTTGTTTGTAGTTTAGTATAAAGTTACACACTGGGCTATCAGTGCTCTGCCTACCACAAGTATTGAAACTCAGCTTCTTGCATTGTAAGCCCACAGACCTACTGCTGTCCACTTGGGGGTCGGTGTGAACTGTGCAGTTCTTTTGCAGCACTATAGAAAGCTACAAGAATGCACCCATTAATTACTGTACTACCAATAAATAGGCAGGGGCCATATTTGTTTTTCCACGGCAGTAAAACAACTTCTCAATATTTTTTAAGACCATAGGTGACTGATTTTTGATTGGGATTACACCAGTATATCTCTTATCTGGAGCACTGATGTAACTTTTAAGTTCCTAATTTTATAAGGAAAATATAAAAAAAATATCCTCTATCTCCCCAAGTATGAAAATTGTGACGTTTGCTCTCTAGGTATTCCTTCTTCTCTAATTTATTTTTCACTCCTCCATAAGTATGGAATTTAAGGTAAATTACTCATTTTAATGTAGTTATTAATCTAGCAAAGCATAATTTTTATAGTCTTCAAATCTTATTTGGTTACAGAGCCATAAACTAAAAAATCAGACCCCCTCTTGTCACACCCACCTCTTGTCAAATCCTCTCTTTCACAAATTGCTAGTTCTTTCTGAAATTTAATACTGTAATTTATCAAATATATTATGTTGTTTGTCTATTTTGCTTCCAGTTCAGACTTTATTCCCACAGGAAACACATTGACAAGCTTAGCTGAATTTTTAACAGCTCTTATTGCATAGTTAGAAAGCAAGAAAAAATTATGATAGTTATTGAACATTATCTGCTTTTTTTTACATTATCATTTTAGGGGCAGTACTTAATTAACTATAAAGTACTTACTGTGGTGGTACCATTAGTATAAAAAAAAAAGTAGGCTTAAGTTTCATCAACAGTCAACAGCAAAGAAAAAGAAGATTTACGTAAGTACTATATTTCTTGTTTTTAATGTGTATTTTTTATTTATCATTGTAAAAGCAACTAAAATGGAAAAGTTAGAAACTTGTTAGGTAAGGTTAGATTAGATAAGATACAGAATAATAACAACAATAAAGTCTTCATGTGGTATTCTTGTAAGTTGATCGTGCATCATGTAATTTGATAGGGTAACGTAAACTACGTTTGCCGAGTGATTTACAACTTGTGTGGCAGTTGAAAAGGCAATGAAATAATATGATTTAAGTAGAAACAATGTATACTGTTACAAGTTCTAAGCTATATAGAATAAATAGTTGTCGTTTGCTGTTACAATTTGCAGTCATTCCAGAAAGAAAAAAGTTTAATTAAAAATTAGTTCCTAATTTTTTTATAGTGGCTATGAGGTCAATCAAATGGACCATCCCTATGTAATGCTATAGTATAGAAAGTAACAGATGAAATATAGTTTTTATGAAAAAAAAAATGTAGGAGGTTTTAGGGATTACACAAATGAAATTTGAAAGTTTTCAGATGAAGACATGTTTTGTAATCTTAATATAAATCACTTTGCACTCAGAGCAATCAGCACTCTGATACCATATAATTACAGACAAGGATTTAATAGAAATACCTTATGAAAAATTCTGATTTTTTTTTTTTATCTACAATAAGACTTAATGTTTACTGAAAGCTTGCCAAATTTTGGGAAGATACATTAACTACTTTCAGAGTTACATATATGGTTACATGATGGTTATAAGGCTGTGTAAAATATATAAGCTTGTTGTGATAGGGTTGAATAGTAATCTAGAACATTTTATTGTAGTTTTCTTGTCAGCTTGAACATTTTTTATATCGAGTTAAACTTCTGTGTGGAAGCAAGGGAAAAGAAAAATTACATGGATATATGCTTTTGACTGGAAACAATTGTTAAGTTGTTAGTTGGATGTATTTGAGACATTATGATCATTTTTGCAGTTATTATTAATCCTGAAATTAGTACACATTTTGATATTTACAAATTAATACAGTATATATAAGTTATAGAAACATTTCTTTAGGCTAGTTAGTTATGCATCATGTAAAATCAATAGTGCATGATTTAGAATAATGAAATATTGAAGTTAAGGATCCAAAACTGATGCAACAATATTAAATTTTTATCTAGGAGAGACCCCAATCAGTTTTTTGCTTGGCCTGTGAGTGATGTTATAGCACCTGGTTACTCGAGCATCATTCAACATCCAATGGACTTCAGTACAATGAAGAAGAAAATTGACAATAAAGATTACTTATCTGTCATGGACTTTAAGGTAAAAGTGAATTCTTAATATGTTTGTCTTCATGTTACATTACTTTGATTCAGGACAAAACATTTACTGTGTTTAACCCTAGAATGTTAGCATGATGTCACCATACAAGTTAAATCTGTATACCAAACTAACCATGCTGGCATTGTAGGGTTAAACCTGAGGACATTGACATTTCAATAAGTATACACTTTCCATTGCAGCCATACTAACTTTCAATGCATTCCACATACATTTTAAAGTTTCTGATTCCTTTTTATACCCAGTGCAAGAGCAATAACTTAGCTGATTGGCTGGTAACGTTTTGAATGTGGGATAAGCTATAGGACAAACAGGAAGCCACAGGTTCCCGATATGTGGTCTATAGAATCTCTTCAGTCAGTCCACAGAAAAGTTGTGTAATCATAGAAAGAGAATTGTTTCAAAGATCCCATTATAAACCATGAAATTTGACACCTTAAAAACTTTGCTTTATAGCTACAGCAGTTGAAAATCTTAATGCTGATACATGATAATCAGCAAGCAGCATCTGTATGAGGTATAATTCTGTATAGTTCTAGCAGTACAGTGTGAGTGTCAGACATTGTTTAATGAAACTCTAGACATCCAAAGAGATGGTGAAATCTAGTATTTTCTACAAGAGAAAATGGCTAATTATCTAGAGCTATAAGTTCCATTAAAGAACTGATAATTTCTTTGAATATTTTAGTGTTTGAATCAACAATAGTTGCTTTGATACGGCTTCATTTTTCCCCAGTTGTGTCCCATTCATTTCCTTAACTATCTTTGTTTCCAGCAGGGTAATGACCTGGAGGTTAAGTGTTAAAGTTATGTTGAAATCTGTACCTGTGTTGTCTCCACACAAAATTTTTACAGGAAATAGTTTACAATCAGCTATCTTGTTGTTGTTTTCAAGCATATTAACACTTTCAGTATTGGTAGGTCAAAGTGTGCATTCAACCTTTTGCAGAGTTGCATTGAAAATTTAATTAACCTTTTGGTGACAGGTAGGTCCATGAAATGTAGCTCGTATGGAGAATGATACAAGTTCAACAGTACATATGATAACTCTGAGCTTTCTTAAAGTATTGTTAGGAAAATAGGTAGGATTTGTTAAAGATTACGAGTATTTTGTACACAAAGAAAGAGCTTATTTTAATTAAGTATTTCTACTAAAAATTTGTTATTTATTTTAGTTATTTGTACTTACTCTGAATAGCACGAGTGTTAGGTGATTTTTATGTTTAGTAGAAAATACTTTTTTATCTTATAGTTTTCAAATTTCATTTACATAAACTCTTAAACCTCCTAAATTAATATCTTTTTTTTAAGGTAAATGCTTATATTTTATTTTTCATTTTCTTTACCATATTACTAACTGTAGCTATTACCATCAGTGTAAAGTGCAATTAAATGTTTAAAATTAGGAAATAAAAATTGTATATACCTTTTAATTGTTCATTGCATAATCTTAAAATATTTTCTTTTGGTTATATTAATAATTTTTGATGTTTTATTTTCCTTTCCTGCCCTTCAACATCTATTATTCATCTAATCACATGTTAATAGGCATTTGAGGGCAATATTACAGTATCATTGACAGAGATACTTTATCCTTCAGCACAATGTTCTTGTACTCATGTAGGCAAAGTTTAGGTTACATTAAAAAGATTGTTAAATCTTTCAAATATTCATTTTAAAACATAAATAAGACATAAATAACTTCGTTCCTATAACAAAGATTTTCATAACTTTTTAAAACTTTTATCTTTTCCTACCTAAAATTTATGCAACTTTGATTTTCAGTGAGTTAGAGTTTGTTTATCTCTATCCATACAGGTCTGACCACTTTGACCAGCCTTGCAACTACCATGTAATCAACTGGTAACCAAGAAAGTATCCATAACTTCTAATGTATTAAGTTCATCTTCACATAATTTGGCAATCTTTTAGTAAGTAATAAAAGTCTTTTGTTCAAAAAAACAATTTTTAAGTATGTATTTCTACTAAAGATCTGTCCATGGCCATATTAAATGCTAGTATAAGTACAGTGTGTTATTCATGTTAAGGTTTAAAATACTTTCACTTATCTTAAAGTTTTAAAATTTATTTTACATGACTTTAAATACAAAATACGTGCTTGCACCTCACACTCTTAACCATTATCCCCTGTGATCTGATTACCAGAGCATGGAAGCCCTTAGCCATTATCTGATTCGGCAACATAAAAGACAACCATCTATCTAAAATGGTCATTAGCTGTCTTTTCTGTAAGAAAACAAGGTAATTGCCAATTAGTAAATCCATATTTCTTGTGTATCAAAGGAGAGAAAATTTAATTATTTACATGAGAGAGAGAGACTGCTTCCAAACTGAACTGATATGAAATACAAATGTGTAAAAAAAAGTTAATATTAATTAAGGGGGGTTAATGCATGGTACTGTTGGTGTCACATTAGTATCTACCATGCTTTTCTTTGAGAATTTTGGGGTTGAAATTGTAGTCAAGAAAAGATATTGTGCATCTGAGAAATTTAACTAATCCAGCTGTTAATAATGATGTGAAAATAGAATATGGAAGTAGTTAATATAAAGGAGGTAAACATTTAAAATTAAGTGATTTTGCATATTAGCTAATATAATTGACTTTTCAGGCTTAAAACCTTCTTCAGAAAGAAGTATAAAAGATGGAAGCACTTAAACATTGGGGATAAAGGCTTAAAATTTAAGTGATTTTTGCATATTTATTTCTGTAATCAATCTTTAGGCCTCGAAGCCTTTTTCAGAAAGCAGTATGTAGAAGTACCGTTAAAATTATATCACAATACACATTTGAAATTAATTTATGTCAAGTATAATATAAACAATGAGTACAATGAAGTATAGGAAAACTGAGGCAGTTAACTTTCCATACAACTACCCTGATCTGTGCATGTCACAAGGTTTTATAGAGTTACATTCAAAATTTATTTAAACTACTTTATTATTGAGGCATGTAAATAAACTTGGCATAAAACTGTAGCTAAGAAATCAAATTTTTATCTTGTATAAGTTTTTGTTTTATAAGGAAATATTTAATAATTAATTGTTAATCTCCCATCTGGTGTAAGAATTGTGACATTTGCTCTCTAGGTCTTCCTTTTTCTCCAATCTATTTACAACCCTTCTGAGAAGTATGGAATTTAACATAAATTGTTCATTATAATATAGATATTACTCAGGCAAAGCATAATTTTATAGCCTTCAATGTTCTTTGTTTAAGAAGCCATAAACTAGAAAATGAGACTCCTCTTAACATGCGTACCTGTCACATACATTCTTTTGCAAATTGCCAATATTTAATTTATCAAATAACATATGTTGTTTTCTGTACAGAGAGTTGTCTATTTCGCTTCCAGTTCAAACTTTATTCCCACGGGAAACATATTGATGAGCTTAGCTAAATTTTTAACAGGTCTTATTACATAGTTAGAAAGCCAGAAAAATTATGATAATTGTAGGAAATTATCTGCTTTTTTATCTATTATTATTTTCCTTTCTTAGGAACTGTATTTAATTAAATAAAAATTTAGTGTGGTAGTACCATTAGTATATTAAAAAAAAAGAAACTAGGCTTAAGTTTTGTCATCAGCAAAATAGAAGACCTGGGTAAATACAATATTTCTTGTTTTTTATGTGTCTTCTTTATTTATTGTTATAAAAGTAACTCAAATGTAAAAATTAGAAACTTATGAGGCTAGATTATGTAAAATCAAACAAAATAATACTAATAATAAACATTTTTGTTAAACAAAGTATGCTTGCGAGCAGCTTGTGAGAGTAGCCTGTGCATTATGTAGCTTGATATGGTAACATTAGATATACTTTTACTGCATGATTTAGAACTTGTATGGTGGGTATTATTAGTTAGACATGGTTCAAAGGGCAACAAAACAATAAAAGTTAGTAGAAACAGTTGTGCTTTAAGCTTTCTCGGATAAATAAATGTTCTTTCGTGTCTTTCTAAAAAGTGAAAAAGTGGAAATTTAGATTTATTTTGTATTTTTTTATGGTGGTTATGAGGTTGGTCAAATTGACCAACCTCATAGTTAGGATAGAGAACATAACAGATAAAATATAAAGTTTTACTAAAACAAAAAAACGTTTGAAATTTGTTTAGGAAGCTTTAAAGATTATGCAAATCAAATTTGACAATTTTTAGATGAATAAAAAAGATATTTAATTTTAACATGAAAGTCACTTTACATTTGGAGTAGTCCATCTTTTCACTTCATATATTCCATGAGAAATCTTTAGTAAGAATACTGGATTGAAAACTCTGATTTTTTTGTTTACAAAAAACTTGTAATATTTACTGAAAGCTTGCAAAATATTTTGAAGATACACAAAATGCATTAAATGTTATAGAATGGAAACTCTAAAAAATCAATTTGGGGTCATGAACTTAGCGGAATTGATCAAGTCCATAACAAGAGAGTTAATGATAGATTGAAGGCTTTCTGTTAATACTTAGCACATTAGAGGGGATTTGCAATTTACATTGTGGGCTTCAAATTATTGGAGGTTAACCCTCGAAATGCAAACATATGAAGTACTGGTTGCAGATCTCATTTTGTAGCAGCTCTCATTCATGACATTGAAAAAATGGGTGACACAACTCATTGAGTTGGTTTGGTTATTTCTAATGCTAGTGAACACAAGCAAAGAAAAGTGTTCCATTTTTCTGGGAGAAATATCTTGTGATCTAAGATTGCATGTCTTAATATGATTAATACTGTATAATAACAATGTGGACCATAATGAAGCCAAACTTCCTTCCTGATCATTACTTTATGTTACAGTTCTCCCTAATTATTATTAAAGGTGTTAATTTTTGGGTAATTTCCTGCAAAATTGTCGTAAAATAATGAAAAATTTTATCTTAACTTTGTTTTTAAAATTCTTATTTGTTTTTGAATATTTAATATCAGCTCAAGAAACTGATGCTAGTAATAAATAATATT